ATCCTCGTTAACCCCCGAGACCGAGGTCTACTAAGCAGCTGGACCGCTCTCACGCTCAGCTGGTAGTTTTTCCACACCCACCTACATACACCGTCCTACTTCTCCTCTGATGCTCACAACCACATCATCATATCTTTCTGCGTGTTCTGTGTAGGCTTTGTTACTAACTCCATGCGCCACTTTAGGAGCAGCACTGTTAATTGGAACGCAACAGCGAATCGTGCAGGACTATCCCCAGCCGATGCTCCGAAACTTTACAATATTCAATTCGTAAAATAAAATATTGAAAAAAGTTCCTTGCTCGTGCTGGAAATCGAACCCACGACCTTGCGGTCGTGAGACGGACGCTCTTCCACTGCGCCAATCCCGGCTTCTGGTTCCCACAAAAAGGGATATCCTGTAATGTTCAGAGAACATCGTGAGAACCAAGGGAAATAAGGTAGGAATTAATGTTCTTATATTTCTGGAGGTTATATGCCTAAAGGAACACCTCACTTGGCAATGTGTTCCAGAGCCTCGCTGTCCGTTGGATGAACGAGTCTTTGGAAAGAGATGTTCTGCAGGTCTCCTAAGTGACCACGAAGGGGTGCGAAGCCTCAACTCGAAGGGTTAATCTCGCGGGGACTGCCAAGGCAGAAACAATTGTTGATATTTCAGAAGAGCATCGTCCATGAAAATATCTATAAAATAGAGCCAGATCGCCAACTTTTCTACGATGTTCAAGAGAAGTGAGTGAGTTGAAATGAATGAAAAAAATTGAAATTCAACACACCGTATCTTTCAACTGAAGGGCTTGCGGACCTCTATTTTCTGATGAAAACGATGTTGGATCAAGACAAAATAATAGCAGAATTCACATCACATATTTCAATCAAGAAACAAACATACAGTGAAAATATACATACAAAATGTATATTATATAATCAATGTAGATCTAGGGTAATCGGCAGAAATTTGTCATCATTGTTTTCTGATGAAAACGATGTTAAATCGGGACAAAATGTGAACAATTTTGTCTTCCCTATTTTTATATGTCTATGGACTGAACAAAGCATGTCAACTTGACAAATATGTTCATGTCAATCTCAGATGTCAATAAACAAATTCAAAATTTCGTTCGAATACTACAAGGAGTAGTAATCAACTTTCGATTAAACTGATTAAGGCTATATTCCGAATTCAACTGGTCAGTACTGTCAGTTAATCCACTAACTCCGCTGAAAATCTGTGTTCCTAAATATAAAATCAAAAATACAGTGGTGCAATTCGGAACACGTTTTCATGGTTATGAGCAGTAATCAGCAGCAGATCATCAGCTGGAAATTTGGATGTCATTCTCGTTTTCAATTATTACAATAACAGGGATAATTAAATATATTATCAATTTATTATTGATAAGACAGGACTAAATCGAAGGAAGGAAGGAATGCACGAAGTCATCTTCACAAATTTTAATGGTGTTGTCACACAATCATAAGGGACATGTTTCGATTTTATAGAAGACCATCTTCAGCCTAATTGAAAGTTCAACAATACAAAAAGATTGATTGATTGAATTTTTCGACTATGGGCATTGACAACAATTCCAAAACTAGTAGCATCACATTTTTTCATTTCCAAGAAGTCAAGAACGAATTATGTAATTCTTTCACACCAATCTTTTTGTATTGTAGAACTTTTAATTATGCTGAAGATGGTCTTTCATGAGACCGAAACATGTCCCGTATGATTGTGTAACAACATTAAAATTATTGGAGATGACTTCGAGCATACCTTCCTTCCTTTGAGAAATTTCACTCCACTTTGAGCAATATGGACTTCTACCAAAGATTACAAGACTAAATGTTCGAAAAACAACGGAAATTATGTTATATTCCTTCTCCTCTAAAATAATGACAGTTCACTGAAGCCACACTACCTCCTGGTAGTTAGCAATTTCAGCAGAATGTTGAGTCGAAATATTCGGAATGAATAGTATGTCTGCTCACAAATATCTGTAACTCAAAGTGAATTTTTTTTTATTTCGGAATGAAAAATCTGCAGATACAGTTGAATTCGGAATATAGCCAGAACCTGCAACTAAGTTTACTCTACTCTGAGATTTGATAATCGAACACACCCCAGGATAGCTTGATATATTCGGTGCCGTTAACTTTTTGCTTGTTTGCCTCTGGTATCGGAATATATCGGTGTTTTTCTGGGTACAATACATTCTTCTTCTCGGTTTTGAAGGGCCCTTTGTGAGTCCAACTTGAGATGATATGGTTAGGTGATTCAAGGATGAAACGAACTCTATGTTCTGTAGAACGAATTTGTTGCTTGTTTGTCGCTCAATCAACTGGATTCTAATCAGACTCTCGGTTTTAGAAATGTGTCCTAGAGATTTTGCGGTATTGGATTTTTCGTTCGTAAATTTTTTGTGTTTGGAGACAATTTTATTGTCACCTAAGATCTTTGGAGTTGGGTAGATTTTACTTTTCTCATCGATATTATTATCGTCTATAACATTGCTAACATTGTCAATTTGAACGTTGTTGTCAATCGTGAGGATTTCACTTTGTTTCTTCGGTAATTCTACTTGTTTGAGCTGAAATCCATCAACTTTTTCATGTGTCATGGCTTCACAAATGTTTACTTCGATTTTTTCATTTGTCGTTGAGATATTAACCTCTGTTTCTGGAATAACTGAGGCGCTACAATTTTGTGAAGTTATCTTTCTCGTCTTCAATATTAGTTTCGACATGAATTTTTTAAGTCTCTCTCTTTTTTCATCGGCATATTTCTTCAGAAATTCTTTCTCTTTATTTAGTGGTTTCGGATTGCTATTTACTATCTTTTGGCTATCTCCTTTTCCGTCAAAATCTAGAACAAGTATAACAGATTCCCTTTCTTGTACTTTCACTTTGGAGCAGCATTTCATTTTATTTTCATTAGAATGCCTCTTTTGTACTTTTCTCGTGGATTGTTTTTTGACCAAACACTTTTTGCACTTTTTCCGTATGTCATGTTTGAAGAAAACCATTTCGACATTTTTTTCAACCAGTTTCGATGACTCGATGTCTGATAATTTTGCACATTTTGTTTCATCGTTACAGTGTTTACTTTTATGGCCTGTCGGTTTCCCGGAAGTGGACTGTTTTATTTCGGAATTGTAAGCATCTGAACACTTTTTACAAGGTTTCAGTTGGAGATCATGGGAACCGATGGAGGATTTGATTTTGGGAGGGACGAAGGATTTCGGAAAACTGACAGGTAATTTCTAGAAGAAAATGAAGCGAATTTGAAAAATAATATCTGCATTATTTGTGAATGATAGAAACTTCATGTTTTGCTACCATAGAAGCTTCATGTGAAATACTGGTACGATAACTTAACCTAACATTGATTTGACTGCGGTTTCCACTCGCAACAACCTCATAATTTGAAACTCGTTGACCGATTTTCAAAAACGAAAATTCCATAATATAGTAGTAGTGTAGTATCATCGATAATATTTACAAATCTGAAATATTCAGATTCTAATGTTTGTTCGAGAGGTCAGGTTAGGTTAGGTACTCAGATTGGCCAATTTTAATATTTCAAGGTAAGTGCTCTAGTTTCGGCTAGACTTTTCAATTTTAATTTGTTTTTTTTTACCTTTCTCATGTCATCATTCGATATATAGACTGTTGGCCCGCAACACAGGGTTTATCGATGTTCTAAGTCGGTATGCCATTTAAGGGACCCACTCACTTAGTCCAAGTTGATCTTTGATCCGGTTTCGTGTAAAGTGAGATTATGAAACTTCCAGATTATTTAGTTCGCTTTCGGTGCACCTCTGGCCTGCAGTGCGGGGCGCCGCGCCGGACCGAGGCACGCGCGGGTTTGCCCGATTATTACAACGTATGCTCACATTGAATTCGTATGCAAATAATAGCATTCAGTTATACAGAATTTCCTAGTTTATCGGTCCAGAGATGTGCATAAACTTAAATCATCGATTATTTGAAAGATGTCAGTCAATTGATGTTCGAATAAATCGAGCTACCCTCTCCGGAATCGTATGCAAATGTCGGGAAACTGATTAATGGGTCCGAATTCATTGTTTCGCCAAAGGGCATACATTCTTAGATCATCGACTATAACACTGAGACATTACCACTTCCGGTTCGTATGCCGCCCTTGGGGAGTGACCTAGGCGTATGCAAACCGGCAAACGCCCCAATTTTCGTGAGATGAAGTCATTGCACTTCATTACTGAGCTTCTTCTTAAACAAAATTTCGAACTTTTTTCCAACGGAAAGGTGAGGTCAGGGCCGGGGCAAGGACTGGGTTGCGACTCTCCGAGGCACTCCTTCCTGTTAACTTGGACTAAGTGAGTGGGTTCTTTAAACATCGATAAACCCTGTGTCGCGAGCCAACAGTCTAAAATGAGATCAATAAATTCTTTTCTATTCTACTCAATATGAATTTACGAATTATAAGATTATTGAGTACCAAACTGTTCGATTTTCAAAGAGGGATAGGTGGAAAAGCTGCTAAGTTATCCTAGCGCCAAGCTCATTTTATCGCGCGCTGTTCTGTCGCGCGCTATTTTGTTCCAGCACTATTTCAGACGCGCTATTTTGTCTGGCGCTGATTTGTTACGGAGCCAACTTTTTCATACGATTTATTGAAATTATTCGTAATATCCAGGATGAATTTCTTGCTAAATATTTAGTCCGATATATAATTCTATAAGATGAACCGAAAAACACATGGAGGTGCAATTTGAGAAAACCAAAAATAAAGGTGGTTAGGTTACTAGGAGACTGTGTGACATGAGGGTGATTCGTTTACAATGTGTTCTCATATTATATTCCACCATTTTTTATATTTTTTTGTTGTTTTAATGTTAGATAACGCAGATATCTGATGGCATAGAACCTCTGAGACACCCGGTATAGTATTTCCTGGATATTCTCGCATTCACAATTCTATAGCGAAAGTTGATGAAAATAGTAGATCTTTTAGGTACTTACCAATTTTGGTTGTTTAATATGAGGTATTTCGCCTCTGAAAGTATCATATATTTCGGTGAGGTAGCTAGCCATAGTTAAGTAGTCTTCTGTGTTTGTGATATCAGCACCCGTCATTACTGGTGGAATACCTAGAAAAAACACATGAAATACAAAACATCCAACACTAATCTATAACTAGGTCACAGTGACATGTACAAAATAGAAGGTGACCAAACAAGTGCAGAAATCTCGTTCGGATAAGTCACTTACGCACGTGTTAGGTACACTATTTTTTCTACTAGCGTGTAGAAAAAAACAAATTCCTTTTTTCCGCACTCATATTTGTGTTGAAAATGTTTTCCGCACTAGCGCAGAAAAGTTACCCTCAACACTAAAATTAGTGCGGAGAAGTGGACCTTTCCCCACGCTAGTAAAAATTAGTAATTAACCTAACAAGTTCGGAAAAGTCATTTTACGCACGTTGTAGGTACACTTTTCTAGTGTTGAAAGTTTTTTCTGCACTAGTGCGAAAAACTAAAAAAATTACTTACCTAATTCTTTCTCGAGAATATCAATGGCATGTTGATTATTCTTGATGGGATCGTCGATGACCATCGAACTGATATCTAAGAGATCCGGTCTATAGTGATGTATAATAGAACATAAAACCCTGCCGTCTTTGAATAGCGAACCGATATCCGATATTTTGATGTTTTCGTCGTTCTTGAGTTGTTCTGTCAACCAAGACAACAACACCTCATTGTCAACCGTACCTGAAAGTTGAAAAAAAAAATCATTTGTTTTACTAGGCAGAAAAACAGAAGATTTAATGCCGCGACTGCTATTTGATAGCCAAGGCGTAGCCGAGGCTAGGATATCAGTCAAGGCATTGCATCTTCTTTTCTGTCATGTGAAACACATAATCTTTCTACAAATTTGTTTCAATCTCACGCCCATCATTTTATGTTCATCCAAAGTCCCAATTTGATTCAAATTATTACTTGGAACTGTGCATATCAACAAACTTCTTCTGCCTAGGCAGTAAAAGTAAAACTTTTATGCCTGTTAAGTGTCATCAAAAAACTACTTTCAATGAAATTTGAGTTTTATCGCCTGAAATTCACCATCAACTTACCTCTACTGACACTCCATAAGATGGCCTACTATGGAAGAAAATTCCCAGAGCCGGACTTGGAAAACTCTTTTTCTTTTTAAATGTCGAGATTTGGACTTTCTCTGAATGGTCTTTTTCAAAAACTTTCATCAGAATCAGAGAAGGAAAAAACAATACCATTGCAGCTTTTTAATTTACTTACTTCGACCGGATCGGTGAAAAAATAACATACAAAATACTGATAAACGATTCCATGATTTTGTACTGTATATTTTTGTACTGTATCATGGAAATGAGTACCTTAGTCTCAAAAAAAATCCAATACCTACCTCCTCTCCCTATCCTCCCTGAGTACGCACGAAGTTGTTGTTGTTCTTCTTTATTACCCCAAGAAACATATTTGTTTATAATACATTATAGGAATTTCCTTTCGTGCGCTCCATGAGATAAAAAAATACTTTCTAACGTGTCAGTGTCCCCCGGTATGTTTTGGTATGAATAAATTGTCATTCTCGCATCAAACCAGGGCCAACTCTATCTCACCGGGCCGGAGCATCGCTTTCGTGACGTCACACCAGTTGGGACAAAATCGAGACGCTGGAAATTGCTATACCCAATTCATTGATGTACCACGGAAAAACGGTAACAGTTATCAAAAAATGTCTAGAGACCAAATATGTACAGACTAGACTTTTTCAAAAGGTGAATCAATATTCACTGATTTACGATTAATAGTTCAAGAAATAAAGCATATCAAAATGAATTGACTACATTCAGAATTGTCGTTTTTTAAACAGCTGCTAGAATTTCAATATTCAATTCACAGAAATGATTCAACCATGCAAAGACTTCTCATAGTATCTAAATTGACTGTATTTTTTTTTTCAAAATTCCCCAGAGCCAATAACACACCGATATTTCAATTAAAGTAAAATGGTGAATCAGATGATTATTACAGACTAGTTCAAAGAGTTGAGACGGGTGCAAAGGTGCATATTCATCCGGAAAGTCTGATGATTTTTCTTCTCTTATTATTTGACTTAATCCGGCTATATTTCATATTTAATACCTAATTATTCAACACAATATTAAATATGGTTCTCAAAATATCCAAAAAAACCACAACTGGAACATGAGTAATAAAACGTACATTGCCCTTTACCTATAGGGAATTACCGCGAAATCGTTAATACGTGGAAATTAGGTAGGTATAATACTAGACAATTTTTTACGTGCTCTTTATTTCTAATTTATTTCGGACTCATTGTAGGTAGCTCAATGATTTTCTCACTATTTAATTGATGCATAATCCTAGTTTGACATACTCAGTCATTTTCATTTTAAACCGATACCAAATTGGCAAAAAATAGTATTCTGTAGTAAAACGTCCTGGTTTTCATTAAAATTGAATTTATTTTTCTACCGAAAGTTGGGTAGTTAGTTCATCAGGGATCGATTGAGTGTGCTTCTAATATTTTAAAGTAAATCAGCTATAACCTTTCTTACGAACGCACCGACATGAAATGATGTATAGATGGTACGAAATACCTGTCACTCTTATTTCGTAACAGGTATGTACTCGGAACAGCTTGGAAAAGGTACGCACCAATAACCAATAACCAATAATGAATAGTTTCGACAGAAAAAAATCCTAAAGTTTAAAAATCTCGATTTTGAACACCCTATATCTCTGTAATCATTCCCGCTAGACCCCAAGTGTGATGTATTGATGAAATCAGCTCTTCAAGGAGAATCTAAAAATACAATGAAATACAGGGTGTTCCATTTGAAAAAATCAAGTAGTACTCTGTAGATCGTTTGTTCCGAGCACCCTGTATTTTCTGATGCAACAGGAAAAAATTTATGAAAAAACATTTTAGATTATTTTTCAAATTTTTAAGTCGGTTCAAAAATAAGTGAGCTAGAGGGGGGGACATTTATGGTGAATCACCCTGTAAGCGTATTGATGGCATCGCATACTCGTTTCGAGTTCAGATACCTATCGTGTACTTCTCTACTTTCGTACTCGTGACTCTCGAATCTCGTCCACATAGCTCATCAAGATATATATAGTATGAGTTCTGTGGTCTCGTTTCGTGTTGAAAAAACTCCTCACAATACTGGGCTTTCTCTTCTGAAAATTCATTTTTAGAAATTATTCGCACGGTCGAAATAGAACGCCACTAAATGATACTGACATAAACTTTACGATTCGATCCGAAATTTCTGAAAACTATTACAATACTGAGCGATGTGGAGAAAAGAAACTTGAAAGAAAACCACCCTTTGATCTTTAATCGCATTTTTGGTCATGATGTGGGCGGGCGGATTAACTGGATCAAAATTGTCTCAAAATTCTTATGAATTAACTACCTGATTGATACTATACTTGTAAACTTTATACCTCATTTGGCACTTTGTGTTAATATTTCTGATAATATTTCAGAATATTCAATCCAAATTTTTCCACAATGTTTTTTCAAAAAATTATTATTCGATCGTATCTTGTACATAAAATATTCTCATTCAAATAGGTACTTAATTCAAAAGTATAAATATCTCCTGCAATGTTTTGATCACTAACTCATATCATCAAATGCAAACTGTTCCTCAGTATAAATGTCTCCTAAAAACTGAGAAGGCTTCAGTACTTCTTTAATCGATTATATAGGAAAATATAATAATAATGTTCTCATTTTTCATGTATACCTAGTGTTTCAGAAACATGGAAATCGGTACAAGTATTTAAAGTGATGCTGAGAATACAATCTCGTAATTGGTCACGACTATTACAGCTCAAAAATTAAGTAACTTTCCCTTTTGTTGGACGTAGATTTCAAATATACCTATTCTAAACAAAAAAGTAGATCATAAAAAAGTAGGTATACTATAACACCCAGGGGAAAATCGTTCAAATGGTAATTAAATATTTATTTGTTTTTGAAAAACATAGGTTTATTCTAAAAAAGTATGCATAAAAAAGTAGGATTTCTCTACCATTCATATCGGCTCATACCTATAGACTTCTACCTTCTACCCGAGCTTCTACCTATATTCGCGGAATTCACGAAGTGGGCGACATCTAGGTTACATAATACGAACTTCAAACTTGGGGAAAACAAACTGTTGTCTATGGATAAAGTGCATAGACTACATTGCATACATCTTGCTATAACTGTAGTTGTCAAACTTGTCAATGACATAAAGTGTTATCACTCTTATCAGTACACAGTACACAAGCTGATGGCACTAATAGGATTGAGTGAGGATTGAGTTTGTTTTCCCCCAGTTTTGACGTGGCTTTGACATGGAACGATGAAAGCCGAGCGCCACCTGGTGACATTGATTCCCGCGAATACCTACCTATTAGTACCTATACCTAGTAGCGGAGTTACATTCCGACAATGGGCGTGTACACCTTAGTAGAACTTTCAACTCAAACCATGTTTATAATGATCCTTTTATACATAAATAACGATTGACGACATAATTCTATCTAAAAATTAACTGGAATGTTTTATTTTTGGACATAAATAATAGTACCTTCTGAAAACGGACCATCTTTATGACGTAGAAACCTCATCTCGCCTGGAACCAATGAGCGTGACCCATAGAGTGACCCATGTGTGACACTTATCACTGTTGCCATATCATCTAAACAAAATATCCGAGAGATCGAAATCGATATTGAAATATCTTTTGATATCAACTACCACTACTGCAGAAAAATATATTCAACTTGTCGATGGTAGGTTGAATCATTAGAATATAAACAATCTCTAAACAACGAAATGTCTCAATCTCAAAACCATTTGCACCACGACAATTTCACAATAATCCAATATATTTCATGAACGCAGCAACATTGCTTTGTTGACCCGTTTCACATGGAGCTGCATTTGCATCGAGTCTCGAATTCCGATTCCGAAGTTAATTATGTTGTCTAAAATGAGAAGAGAAGACACGTAATGAAATTAACCTCCAAATCTTGCTTTATATCATATAAGTACATATTATTGATAATTATATTGAATATATACATGAACGTTGAATCAGGATTTGTAAAAGGCTCATCAAATAATCTACCGAAAATTGATTTGGAAATGGTTAATTATTTTTATGTCTCTAACATACTAGAAAATCTCCACAGTTCCTCAGTGCTGAAATGAGGAATAGAAAATCTGAAAGGTGAGTTCCACAATATTCATTCAATTTTCATTGCTTGCACCTATTATAGTTGCATTGGAAAATTGTTCACCTGAAAGGATATTTAACATCAGAATACAGATCATATGCAGATTCCGGGGGAGAATCCTCATTAAATCAGTCACTGATCGATATGTTTACCTATGCAACAATATGATCAATTGGTATGAAACAATGTTATTCCCAAGACTAGATACTGCTTGCATCTCCCCCTGAATGTTTTTCTAGGAGATGGATCATTCATTCTTCAAGCAATTTCCCTATGAATTTCTGCAAAGCAAAACTACTACTATAATATTGTGTTTACCCAGTGAGGGGCGAGATTTGTTCCCAAAATTACCAGCTAAATGATGTTTTTTTAATTGCAATTAGGCACAGAACATTTCTCAATCATACTTTTGTCGAAATATTTCAATTTAATATTCGAAAGTTGCAGAAACTTAATATAGGTTAGAATTGATCTTCTTCTTGTTCTTATCATCTATGTCCCAAAAATCAACTTACCGAGCTCACAGCAAGAAACGGTTTGCGGTGGTGAGCTAGTTTGGATGAGTTCTATCGAATTATGAAATAAATTTTCTTTGTGATATAAGCCCATTATTGATAGGTACCCGTGTAGGTACCTACATAACGATACGTGCGATTATGGAATACGGATATTACGATGCTTGGAACAGGTATTTTTGTAACAAGTATTCGTAATAGGTATGAGTTGGTAACAGGAACGGAACGTACCTGTTACTGTAAAATACTGGTTTTGAACATCTCTAGATGTGAAATCTCAACCTACTAGTATGACGTAGGTATCGAGTTAGATGGGATTGACTACGGCCCGATGAGATAGAGTAGGCTCTGATCAAACTCACCTCTCCTCCTCTTCTTCGCCACCTCGTTCGCCTTCCCGCTCGACGCTCGCTTCATCCTCTCCACGCCGCCAGGATTGTCCGTCTCGTACAAACAAGCCACCTGATGTGGCAACACCACCGCCTTGTTCAAATTCGGGTACCGTGTTGCCGGATCCAGCGTGTACGACTTCCAGTCCTTGTTGAGGTTGTCGGGCGTCGTTTGGGCCAACAGCCGGTAGACCGATTCGCGCTCGGCCATGACGTCGAGCGGCGAGCGACCGGCTGCCGACCAGCCGCGTATCGACCAGGCGGCGTCCAAGGCGGAGAGGAAGCCGCGCGCGCAACCGGAGCCGGTCGGCCAAAACGGCTGAGAAAATTACATGATTATTTATTTATTTATTTACTATCCTCCACATTACATTATGTCACGAGTAGAACATACGGTATATTAGTTATTTCGAACCATGAGGGTTTTATAAACATAAAGTTAATCAAATCATCCGTTGACATTGAATTATAAAAACTGACCAAGGAACTCTCATGAGAAACGTGCATATCTAATAAAATGATGTATATAAATATTGGATGTGAGGGTTCCGAAGTTAGTCTGGTCTGGGGCTACTCTTGACTTGACAAGAGCTCGTCGTAATGGTCATTATAATGTAAGTTGTTATTAGGTCTTTATATTCATTGTTGTTTATTCATATTTATACTCACTTAACCCATAATGTTTCATGCTATTATAAATATTGTTATGTTTGAATGTAGTCTCGTACTTTCAGCTACCCCCGAACTATTAGTGCCTATTCGAATATTACCTCTCGCAAAATATTAAGCCAAGCATTACCCCTTATAAATCGATATGGATGGACTGTAACATCTATTATATCGTGACATGGTGGAAGTACCAACCTTTATATTGTGACCTCTATTTATCATGACATGTTGGAAACAGCCCTTTTATCGTGACAATTCATCACTCTAACTCGCGTTCAGTTCAAGATCTTCAATCATGAATTAAGTTTTCCAATATAAAACATCCAGTACAGTATAGTTTCGATCAGGTCAGCGATGTTCATAGACGTCCAGTTCCTGTAGAATTTGCAAAAACCGCTCACCGTGCGACAAAGTTTCATCTGACTCTCTTATCATAAATGCTGGTGTTCCGCATGGATCAATTCTAGCACCAACACTATTTCTACTCCATATCAACGATTTGTTGGAAGCAACTGCATGTCCAGTACACAGCTTTGCGATTGATAGTACCGTCCATACCACCTTCCAGGGCTCCAATACAAGCCAGGCAAATCGGAAACGAACGGGGGAGAAATGTTGACAACATAAATATGGACTTGGCAACAATCGTCGAATGGGGATCCAATAACATGGGTTTCAATGCAAACAAAACACGAGCATGCCTTTTCTCTAGAAAAGCCGATCTCACTGTGCCCAACATAAGCTTGTCAGGAGTAACCATACCTTTGAAGACATCTATATGGATGCTTGGTATTATTACATATCAGCAATAACCTTTCTTGGGAAAATCACGTGAGATCAATTGCTTAAAGTGCATCCCAAAAACTTGGTTTCCTGTTTCGGGCCAGGAGCTATTTCACTTCCAGTCAGCTGCTTATGATCTGTAAGGCACAGATCCGACCTGTCCTGGAATACTGTTCCCATATTTGGAGTGCAGCACCCAAACATACCCTGAATTGTTGGATTCTGTCCAAAAAAGGGCAATTCGTCTCGTGGGTGATACCTCGCTCACAGACTCACTCACTTCTCTGGAACACCGTAGAAAAGTTGGCGATCTGGCTTTATTATATAGATATTCCCATGGACGATGCTCTTCTGCATTATCAACAATTGTTCCTCCCTCGGCAATCCCCGTGAGATTAACACGTCGAGTTCAGGCTTCGCACCCCTTCGTGGTCACTTTGGAGACCTGCAGAACATCTCTTTCCAAAGACTCGTTCATCCAACGAACAGCGAGGCTCTGGAACACATTGCCAAGAGACGTGTTCCGCGAGGCATATAACCTCCAGAAATTCAAGAAGAACACTAATTCCTACCTCATTTCCCTTGGTTCTCACGATGTTCTGTGAACTTTACAGGATATCTCTTTTCGTGGGAACCAGAACATAAAAAAAGCAATATCGAAAGGTAATGGCCATTCCCATTGCGGGATATCGCAAACCTAGCATCGATTCCGAATATAAATAATAACCGAGTCGATAAGGCATTATTATTATTTATACATGTTCGCCGTCTCCCCGACTTTAATCCTGCTGGACAACCCCATGCTAACCCCCTACTAAGCCAGAAACGAAGTTCAACTAGAATACTAGTGGGACTTCTCACAGGGCATTGTAGGCTCAACAAACACATGAGTACGATAGGTCTGACTGAAGAACTGCTGTGCAGGTTCTGTCAGGAAGAGGAGGAAACAGCAGTACACATACTTTGCCACTGTGAGGGCTTGTCAAGACTAAGGTTCCTTACGCTGGGTGAGGAAAAACCAGAAGCCCAGAGATACACAGGGGATCTGAAAGCTAGCCTATGGAGTCTCATAGAGAAGACGGGGCTAGCCGAAGAACTCTAATCGATTTTGAGGGCAGACACAATAGATCTGAAAAGGTCGCGGTGTGGAGGCAGATAGCCCGAAGGCCCCATTCTAAATCTAAATCTAACCCCATGCTAGACGTTGTAATGTAAGTACTATTTTTTTCCAAGTGTTGTTTTGCGTTGTGTTTCATTTGGCAAGCCATTATGTTTTTATTCTTTGCTAACCTGTCTTGACTCTTTATTTGAATGTGGTTATTTGAAACTTTAGAAGTATGGATGTCTATGGGTGATACTATTTAAAAAATAAAGACAATTATTCCGATTGCCCATTCGCCCACTCACCTCCAGCAAACTGTCTCCGACGAGACACATGAGCAAACGATGGCCGTTTCTTTCGAGCACTTTGGAGGCGTTCTCGGCCGCGTACATCGACGTGAAATCGAACATGGCAATGTCCGGCTGGCCGTAATGATTGACGGCGAATTCCAGATCGGGCATCTGGTAATTCGTGCTGAAACTCGCCGCTTCTATCGCGTACTGCTCCAAGGCGTCTCTGTTCACGTTTTCGGGCGCCAGCAATTTCTCGGTGTCGGACAAATCCTGAAAGAACGACGCAAGAATAAATGAAGGCTAACACTTTCCATGCCACTAGAGTCACTGGATGGTATTGTAAGATAAGAGTTTGGACACAGAAATGACAACTATTAGTGTTTTTGAATGTTTAGATTTATTAAGTTACACACCTTGCAGTGTGAAATTTTACTGATTCATATTTTCAAAAATAAAAAGGACATTCAGTTCGAAGAACATATCTATGACATGATAAATAAAAATAACATAACATTGAAATATAAAACAAACAAATTATTTGGTTAGAAATTATAAATATTTGATTCCTTATCTATATAATGAAATTCCAAATGATATCATGAAAACAAAATCACTACAATCCTATACGATAAAAAAAAACTGGCTATTAGACTCCGCCAAAAATGATTTTATCGCTTTAATTAACATTCAATAATAGAATTATTAGAAAAATCTAAATAATAATTGTGAATAAGTATACATAAATATAAATAATTATGCGAATTGAATGGAATGCTCAGTACACTATATATGAATTGAATACATGATGTCTACATTTTTATTGAGACAATTTTTCCCTTGTGATTATTTGAAATTGTTAAATATTTATTGACATATGTACATTTGTTTTTTTAACCTTACTACAAGGTTCACTTTGTAATGTTTTTTCTAGTTTATTCAAAATACCCATCTGGATGTTCCAATGTATATTTTGTAAACGTTTTTGAATAATAATATTATTATCATTTTTAGTGTTATTATTATTATTATAATTATTATTATTATTATAGTCGTCCCGCCTGTTTTCATTCAAAATTGTTTGAATTTGACAATAAATTTTATGAACGTCAGAATTGAAATATAATGAATAGTTATTTTTGTATCTAGAGCGCGAAATGATACTTTGGTGATCGAGATCTGATTTTTTTAACGGGGCGTGGCCGAGTTGAAAAAATAGTCGTACACTTCACTCAGATTTGGACTCAGCTTGTGCCTCAGATCCATCATACATTCCATACCAAGACCAAGAGATATTTCATATGAAGAAATAAACATTCCAACTCACAGAAGTTTCAAGTTATATGGGAATTATATCTCTCACAACAACAACAAAATAGTAGAAGGCTCCAATGGAAAAATGTAGGACCTACAATGTCTTTTAAAATGAATCTCCTGCACTTGAGAAGTCTTTTCTGATGATAAAAAATCAGTTCTGTTGAATGGAAGAAATGGATAAACGTTGAGAATCGAATATGAATTTGAAAACTGGATGCTGGCAGCTCCAACAAAAACTTACTACCTTTCTTCACTTCATTGGTCCAATAATGAAAACAATGAGGTAAATTGGTGATTCATAGATTTATTTATTACTGATAATTGACTCCTATTTGTACCTAGTGCCTATCTGAGAGAGAACATGATTGAAATGATCAACAGTTCATATTCTGTTTATGGGGAAATGTCTCCAGAAACTAGGACTTGGAAAATTAAGTATGGTTGTTTTTCTTTCAAATATTCTTATAATGAAAATAAAGAAGCAAATTCAATGCTTTTGATTTTTGAACTGCAATACACAAGGCTGGACAAGAAAGAATATGACAATATGAACATGTGCAGGTGGGTAATTTATGGTTTCATTTGTAATGCGCTTGCCTTCTCTAAATCATATTGAAATCTTGTTCATGGCATTCTGCCTAGGCCTTTATAGATTTCTATTATGTAGTATCATCTCTGTAGTTGAATAGCCAATGCAGATTGCATGTACTTCGAAAGCAATCAAGTTAGAATACAGCTTCCTATTACATTCATATGAGCAAGAACAGAAGCATATTTTAAATTAAAGATATATAATAACCCTGGTATGAACAAATTATTCAGCAGTTATTGTAGGTAGCGTTTACTTCATAGTTCGAATTGAACATGCATTAAAGTGACTCAATCTATTTCTATTTGAATATTCAGATTGTGTAATAGTTCATAGATATGGTTTGTTTATAGTAGGTACTAACATTTCTTCTTCAATTGAGTGCAAATAGTAGCTACACAAATTGAAACCAAAACCCAGATTCAATTGATAGCATGATATACAGTTTTTGTTTATTCCTTGAAGTTGAATGCAAATGTTCAAGGATATATCACTGATTATTTAGGTACTTGAACATATCCATGACATTTCTAATTGTATCTTGGAAATATTTATTTATAATTTTGCTGCTTGTATGTTTTTATTAAACTGTATTTTATTCATAAGTAACAGTTCTAGTTTTTTTTTTGTTTTTGTAATGATTTTCTTGTAGGTTTTCACACTTCATATTTCAATTCCACAACTACCTCAATCAACACCTCATTCTTTATTGATGCAATTTTAAAGTTTCACTTTATAATCTTCATTGTTTCTTTTTGAAATAGGTACTTTCCCTCATTGTTAATTTGTTTCTACATAAATGAAAGTCCTGGATTTCAAATTCATTCATGATTGCTGATTTTTATAAAGTTATCTTGTGAAATGATTCTGGGAAAAACAGTATACATGAGCACTGAGGGGAAAAGTATACTGGTAGATAAAAGGTGGAATTTTCATCATGGTCATAGATAAATCACTTGTTCGGAAATTAATCGGTTAGCAGCATGATTCAACCTATTAGTCATTCATTCGAGACCAGGTGGTGAATCAAGACAGTCTTATATTAGATGTCATCACGTACGGTCGCATTTTGTGATCGCAATTGAAAAATACCCGAAAGGAATTATTTATCGTTCCAAACGGAGTGTTCACTTGAGAATGAGTGCAGGTATTGTGTTTTTGGGTTCCTCTTAATTCAGTGTTTCGTGTTGTTTCATCAAAGCTTCGCATTTTTCACGCTGATGAGTGAATAGAGATTCTCTGTTTTTCCTCATATTTCCCTGTTTATATTTAAATTAATTGACTTATATGTTTTCTAAATAAGAAACGTCTGTTCGTTGAATACTTTCAAGATAATATTTCGAAACGAGCAAACCAGAAGAAAATAAGACGATTCGAAATATTTTCATGGAAAAATACCTTCTCTCTATATTTCCCTCAATGTACATACTATACCTGTAGATAAAGGGAACTTTGGTGAATACAATTACTCCCTATCGATGTGTCTTCCATCTTTTATAATCAATATAATATACAGGGTATGTCTCGACAAGCTTACACCATCTTTATATCGAGAATCAGTCGGGACAAATCCATCCCTATATCAACTCTTGATTCACGATTTACTGATTCAATCGGAACAGATACAGGGTGGTTCAAGATTCAGTAATCTGATCATCCTGTATCTGTTCCGATTGAATATCATTAAATAGTAAATCAAAAGTTTAGATAGAGATATGTGAGCCGTTTTGGCCGATAATGAATAGTTTCGACACAAACAAATCCAAAAGTTGAAAAATCTCGATTTTGAACACCCTATATTTCTGTGAACATTTCCGATAGACTCCAAGTGTGATGTATCGATGAAATCAGCTCTTCAGAGAGAATCTAAGAATGCAATAAAATATAGGGTATTTTATTAGGAATAGCAAAGTTCTTGCTACTTTATGACAGAAGAGGCAACAATGCATTGCTGAAAATATTTTGAATGAAGAGAGCGTATTCTAAAATATGAGCATGCATATTCTCATGAATTTCTCCCGAATGATTCTCGATATACAGATACAGTGTAAGCTCGTCGTGACATACCCTGTATAGTAAATCAGACATAATAATCGTTAAGGTAGAACTTGGAAACTCCATGGCCCACTAGCAAAAATTTATCATAGTCTGATGTTTTAGTGTTTTTTAGGATTTCTGGAAATCCTATATTTCAAGTTTTATGCGTCGTTTTTAATGGAAACAAATAACGAATTCAACCTTGGATTCAACTAAATAATAAAATACATGTCGTATCTCCAAAATCATAACCCCTAAAGAATTGAGTACGCCACTGAATTCTCCGCAAAATTCTCTTTTAGACGTAGTATTCGTAGTAACTCAGCACAACCTTATTTCTAATAACTTCGTAGAGAAGCCTGGCAGTCTAAACCAAGATGTACATTCAAATCTGAAACACCCTGTATGCCTCCTTGTGCATTTTACACTATTCGAGAAATTTGATAGATTTTTTCACTACTTCTGACTGATAAATTCTTTCAAATCACTAGAGATTTTCGTGAAATAGTTATTTGTTTAACTAGGCAGCAAAGTAGTAGATTGACTGCCGAAGCTGAATTCATAACCGAGCGTAGCGAGGCTAGGAATCCAGCTAAGGCAGTCAATCTACTTTGCTGCCGAGTTGAACATATAATTTTTTCTCCGATTGTTCATAATGATATAGGAGGATATTATAATTGCAAATTATTACAATTCCCACAATCTCTTTATTATTCCTGTAGTGTTCAATTAAAATGAAATTTGATAGAAATCGCAGTTATCCATGATAATTATAGTTTGACAATTCATGAAAATTCTGACAGTTGTGCGAAAAAATATCGGTATATACAAATTATTATATAATGGACAGTGATAGCGACCTGGAAGTACTTACACCTCCGGAAATAAGGGAGTTGGCAAAAAATATAGAGTTGAATTTGTTGATTGATATGTGTCAGCAAAATTAATATTTGCTGCCAATCGGAGAAAAATTATATTTTTATCCTGTGTTTAATTTTTTCAAATCGTTAGAGTTTGGAAAATAATAGTGCCGGTATATCTGTGTTCAATTCTCCATCTTATATATTGTATACCATATATCTGTTCCCCCTGTATAATTTCATTATCGACATAAGTCATAGATAAATCATTTGTTCGGAGATTAAACGGTTATCGGCATGATTCAACCTATTAGTCATTCATTCGAGACCAGGTGGTGAATTAAAACAGTCTTATATTAGATGTCATCACGCACGGTCGACTTTTGTGATCGCAATTGAAAAATACGCGAAAGGAATTATTTATCGTTCCAAACGGAGTGTTCACTTAAAAATGAGTACAAGTGTAGTGT